AAGTTTCCGCGAATGCATAAATAATTTGACTTATTATGAATAAAATGTGCATTATGTTTTGCTGCATTCTCACTTAATGTTATTTTTTAAGTTTACTTTCATTTCTTCTTCCCTTAAGCATTAAACTTACATAACGGTGTATTTCGCGTACGAGTCAAAGTTTCATTCAAAAATTGTGATTATTATCGAACAATTTCGCTAAAATGGGGGTAAACCTAGACAATTTTAGTGCAGTCCGTTCCAACAAATAAAACCATTGAAAACAGATTTGAGCAAGACAATCAACAAAAAATAATGCTCTAATAAATGATTTGACAGCAATCGCTCTGAATCCAGCTATTAATCGAAACCCGAACAAAACACCAACCTTTTCGAATATAGAATTAATCGTTACTGTTCCCAACAGTCTGATGATTGAAGTCACTCGGTTAGTAGCTTCGTTTAGTGGCATATTCAATAAGTATATTCTTGCTTGTGAAAATCCAACAAATTCATTTGAATGAATTTCTATTCTGCAGTTTTTAATTTGTAGTCTAAAGAATATTTGCTTAAATGTTTACCGAGGGGTTTATTATTAATGATGAAGATAAGAAGCAGTCGTCAGTGTGTGTGCATTTTACGGTGTGCACAACATTTATTTGACGATTTATACGAGTAAGTACATGCTCGTTTGTCAAGCGATTGTTATGTCACATTAAAAATATGGAACAGAGAATCAGTATTTTTCCTTGAATATATAATAAAATAATCCTTGAATAAATAGTAAAATCAAAAAAAAAGAATGCACTCGCACTTGAAACTGCCATCATTAGATCTACTGTAAAATCAGCATTCATGTTCCTTTACGCTAATTGCTGAATGTTTCCAGTTCACTGGTTCTTTTAATTTTTTCTTTATATCCATTTATCGAGATAACTTGATTATTGGAATACGATCATATCTACACTTCTAATATCATGTGGTTGACGTGATCAATTTTTGTTTAGGTGAACATTGCGTTTCCCTTCTAGTAGGTATGCTTCCCTAGGAACCTCCTCTTCAAGTTTCCACTCATCATTCAAACCAGAGGCAACTGCATTACTAGATGAAATACAATAGTTTCCCTTCATTAAATTTATGAAGTGATCTGATGCTGCTACCTAACTCAGTTAGACATGAGCGGATGTTACGTAAACTAGTTTGTTATTCTGTATCAGTTACCATCCACTTATAATGTTAGCTTCCGTAAACAACTGCATTTCTCTATCTCATTTCACCCCTACAGAAATTATTTGTAATCAGTGTGACCGTTGGGTGCGTTTCCAATTCAAAAAATTCGATGTTGAACACAATATTGAAATGTCTTGAAAATTTCAGCAATGCGTGTTTCTGGGCTGTTATGCTTGATTTCATTGGGTGTAGTTTCGTCAAATGTTTACAAGATCGCATTTTTCGTTCCTTCATGGATACCAAGTCAGGTGAGTGCATACTAGTTATCGTGGAGTGGCCAATAAAAGTTAAAACCATTTCAATCGAAATGCTAATGTGCATATTCTTTGCGAAGAATGGCTGAATACAATCTGAGGGAATCTAGTTGACATCCTTCTTTCGAATTCATTAAGGAGAAACAAACAATTCACAGTCTCTGTATGTTTAGAGTGTTCAAGTTATCGTTACTTTCAGTTAATAAAGTCCCACATTCATTGCACAAAAACATATTTTGCTAAAGAGGAACGAACTCTCGCTGAGCTGTAAAACTCATAGTCAAACTGCGATCCAAAAACTGCTTGTTCTCAGCGTTATGGTTGTGTAATATATTTTTTCTGCTGTCGACCTTCACAGCTGCTGACCATTTGTAACATCAATACTTAAATACGCATGTCAAGTAAGAAATTTGGAAATGAGAAAAACGCTGGCACTTTTGTTCTTAAATAATCCGCCATTGATAATGGTTTGAATAAACCGCTAATTGGGCTATGGCATCTGGTTTTTTGGGTACGTAAGGCTCAGTGTACCTTTAGGATTGCCATCGGGAATTAATTGTTGCTTTTAGTTAATATGGACTGTTCGAGTGGCTGAAGAGTTGGCGAAAGCTGGTCATAAAATTACAATTATTGGGATAAGAGAAGCGGAAAGCACAATCAAAACACCTGTAATCGAAGAAATCGAACGTTGGTTGATTGTTTCAAAATGATTATCAAACCATTACTTCGTTTTAACGGAAGACATTCACAACCGAGTTGTTTGCTAGACTCACTGAGATACAACGGACACATTGTAGCAAAGAAGGAATTACCGAAACCTTTTCGTATTTTAAAAGACACATAGCAGCAACAAATAATTTAAAAAACTGGTGGGTGATGAAAATTTAGTTGTACAATTCAGAATATTCGATTATGCTCCGTTCTTGTATCAATGTACGGATTGGTATGAGAATGTTCTCCCGCTTCAGTTATTGTCGAGGAATATTTGAGCATTTTTCAACGACTTTGCAAGTTTGATACTCTGGTAAAACATTAATTTTTCCATGCAGAATATACCGTGGTTGCACCAGCCATTTGGACACTGTAAATGCTTTGAAAACGGTTGACATTAGACGAAAGTTTTGATTTGCAGAATGGCACGTGGACGCATTCGTACTAAATCTGACAGAGTTTGAATCAAGAAAATCACGTTTAATTTATAAGGTATTATTGGCAAATTGAAGTTTTTTTTTCAAGAATCTGAATCGCCATTGTGAAGACATGGTTCCTCTTAAGTTTCCGGTAAAAAAACGCATCACAGAAATATCGAACGAAAACGAAAGTTGTTTGCAGGAGATGTCCATTCTTGATCCAGATATGAGAGAGTTTTTTTCAATGGCAACCGGCAGCCTTAATAAGGGATGTGAACGTAAGTCAGTGTGCAAAATATTACAAATTTCCTCAAAAAGTATGAGCGTGAATGGCGTCAGAATGCTTAAATTCCGGTTGTACTATGACTGCTTCATCAGTTCATTCGTTCGAGCCACTCAATTATGAAATTTCTCCTGCACAGATTTCTGCTCATAGTCATTGTTGAAGCATGGTGAATGCTTCGAAAGTGCCATGTGAGATGATGAATGCTTTCGATAATCGCACGTTAAATATAGAAACTCGAATAGATGTAGGGAAAATTCACGAAATAATTTATTGCAACACGGGCAATGACTTATCATTATTGCTTAAGAATTTTGTTTGAGATCAAATGCTGTGCATTAATAGAAGATTATCATCGAGAGATTGTTTAGTTGTTCTGCAAAACAAAACGTTTATTGATCGTTTGAAAGCGGCAAAATTCGATCTTGCCTTCAATCATATGGGGCAATTGTGTGGAGTGGGTTTGACGCGATTAGCGAATATACCAACGTGGATTTGGTTAAGCAGTGGACAGTTAGTGGATCATATGGCTGAATACATTGGTGTTCCAAGCCCTCCAAGCTATGTGCCAAGTAAGTAATGGTCAAATTTAATTCAGTTCAGTATGCGTTGGTATTCGATAATGAAACTGAATATGGATTAGCAGTCCTGAAGACATCTTCTTAAGTTCAGATGTTTGTTGCGGGCAATGTCGGGTATCTGTTTCAAAGAGCAAATGTTAAAATACAATCCTCTTTTGTTTTCCTCGACGAATCAATTTTTTTAATTCGAATGAGAGCATGTAGTCGAAGATATGCTTACATAATGATGACTCATTATTCAGCGCTTTTTTCTGACAGCTCCGATGAAATGTCTTTCACGGAACGGTTGAAGGTACTGATTGGACGAGTCATAATTCGCCTCGTAGTCGAAAAGTGGGTTCATTTAACGAATTGAACACTCCATTCGTAGTCTTCTTCTCTAGTGTTCACTTTTGAAGTCACCATCTGCATACGATAAAAACAAAACGTTGCCTTTGTGCAACCAACAAAGTATGAACAACGGAACAATACGCTTTTGCATCGAACAGATCCTGAGTTTGTGAATTCGTATTTTTTGTAGAGTAAAAGGACACGGAAAATTCTTGCAGAATATCCATGAACCCGCACACGGAACTATTTCGAAAGTACGTTGATCCGAACTTCCCCGACCTCATCGACTTGGTTCAGGCATGCCCCCTCGTGATGGTGAACAGTAATGAGATGTACAATTTCGCACGTCCAACGCTGCATAAAATCATTTACATTGGAGGTTTGGGAATGACGATTAAGAGTGCGAAACCGCTGACTGGAGTAAGAATATTTTGGACTTCATTTGATGTTTTGTCAAGAAGTTGGTATTATTTTATCGCATAACGGTGTTAAACATCAGCTGATCTTCAATTCTCTTCTCATTTAACTCGCGAAAAGTGTCAGTTCCATAAAACGCATGATGGAGCACGTCTAAAGACACGTCGGCCTCGTTTCACTTATGGTCTCGAGGAATAGTTTATCTGTTTTCAAAACGATGTTTGCTATGAACTTCTACATCAATGTTCTCATCGCAGACAATAATAACTACCACTAGGTGGAAACGGCATTTTTGGACAATTGTTTACTTTGGGGGGAGGGGGGGGGTGGGATTCACATGTGAGCACACGCGCACACAACAGTACACATGCATGGAGGCCATGCGCAATAGGCGTAGCCTCAGCCCAGTAGTCGTAGCCTTAGCCTCAGCCTCAGCCTAAGCGTAAACTAAGCCTTTACGAACGCCCAGCGATTGCTCGATATTACAACGAGGGACTAGCAAGCAAGCCCAGGCTTAGGTTGCGACATTCCTCCCCCTCCCTAGGGTAAAAAAGTGCCCTTCTGTGTAGTTTTGCAAGCGACTGTTAAATATTCTTGCGTTTGGAAAAAGAGGCGGCACACGTTGACATGATTTAACCGGAGCGGAGATTGACCAAAAAAAAAGTCGAAACTCGCTGACCTAGATTCTCGAAGAATCCGGTAATTTTATGTCTGATTTCTGCATTCTTCAGGACTTCAAAAGTATTGTGGACAATGCGAAACAAGTTGCGGTGATGACGTTTGGTTCTCATGCGAACTCGAGCGCTATGCCTGAAAAGTGGAAGAATGCGTTTCTGGATGCTTTTCGGTGTGCATTTTTGAAGTCGTGAAGCCTCAAGCTCTTTCAGAATAATATCAGTATATAAGAATAATATCAGTCGTTTTGGACTTTCATTGCAATTCTTTGAACGATATTATGTGCGAAGCCAGTGACCTTTGCAATTACCAAAAACACAATTGAGCGACCTCTGCAGACGAATTAATGCGTTCTTCCCAATGACCTTTCCAAAGAATTTGATATTAGTGAAGAAAATCTATTTTCTTTGAAGCACAAGACGTGGTTTTGGGCCACCGATCTTCGGCTTAGTTTCTGACGGAATTGAACCCCAGTTGTAGAATACTCGTTCAACATTTCAATGCTGTTAGCATTACTTGCTGAATTAAATTCATCAGATGATGACTGTATTCTACTGAATTGTCAATATATTGACAAACATTGATGTGTAAAAGCACTCCATTTATTTGGGTAAGCACCCAGACCCCTATTCAATCAGTTCAGGTATACTAACGATGCTAAGTGAATTTATGCATTCACTAATATNCTGAATTGTCAATATATTGGTAAACATTGATGTGTAAAAGAACTCCATTTATTTGGGTAAGCACCCAGACCCCTATCCAATCAGTTGAGGTATACTAACGATGCTAAGTGAATTTATGCATTCACTAATATGTTACCTTGCACATTCAAAACAATCCTGACTTTCTTGAAGGAAGTTTCCTGATGTGCAATTCATCGTGAGATATACGACCAAGGACTTGGACGGCAAAACACCGCCGAACGTGCACCTTAAGCCATGGATACCTCAAACGGATCTTCTTCGTGAGTATCAGAAATAATTTATATTCTCGAAAATATTGCACACCGTTCCTATCACCGCTCAGTTATGGTCGAATTTTTCAGCTTTCTTGACCGCTGATATTAACTGCGAGAACGACTCGTTTCCGTCATAAAATCTGTTGAAATTTGTGTAATATAATTCTTAATCGCAAGTGCTCCTGGCAGAATGAGATGTAGTTGATCGACGATACATTGATGCGTAACTGAACTTTGTTTAGAGCTGTAATGGCTAAAATCCTGTTGAGTATGTGATGTTGCAGTGAACAGGAAGACTGTATTACTAATCACACACGGTGGATATAACAGTGTTCAAGAAGCAATCGCTGCTGGTGTTCCAATGGTTACGATACCATTATTCGGTGATCAATTTGGTAACGCAAGATTGGTTGTTAAGCACGGATGTGCCTCTAGCATTAAGAAGAAGGATGTCAGCACCGAAACAATCACTAAAGCTTTGCAAACGGTTCTAAGTAACCCAAGGTTTGTACATTTAGTTACTTGTATTATAGTCGTCGTTATTATCAGTTTGCAAAAGTGATGAGAAATATTGCAGTTACAAAAAGAATGCGATTAGAATGCGTGATATGCTGCTGAAGAAACCGTCACAGCCAGATCGACTGCTCGTCGAATGGACCGAATTTCTGGCAGAGTTTCAGCAGCTACCAAACTTGGTACCATATGGTGTAAACCTGAATTTTATTCAATATAACTGCATTGACGTAATCGCATTCCTCGCTACAGTTGCAATTGTTATCATAGTGATTACTGCGAAAATACTCAAACTAATTGCTCGCCTAATTATCAGAAAATTCATCAGAAAAGACGCAAAAAAGAAGAGCGAGTGAATATCACAGATTCCCGTTGAATATGTGCTTCACTTTCATATACCTCTTAATGATCACTTTTCTGATTTCTTCTCATATCAGTTATGGCGCAATGAAATGTATTGCTGGTGATGTCTTTTTATTCCGTTTTTGCGTATTCTGTTCTTTGTACCAACGAATTAGATGCTGAATAAAAATTATGTTCTGAAATTGATCCTTCAGTTCATGTTATTTTGGATCTGAAGAAGATTAAGATATTCAGAATTTTTTTTTTCTAAATTATTCGTCATAAACAGCACAATCACAGTCATAATTGCTGATTATTCCTTGTGATAAGACATTAAATGCAACGGATGATAGTGGGACTAGNATGTTCTGAAATTGATCCTTCAGTTCATGTTATTTTGGATCTGAAGAAGATTAAGATATTCAGAATTTTTTTCTAAATTATTCATCATAAACAGCACAATCACAGTCATAATTGCTGATTATTCCTTGTGATAAGACATTAAATGCAACGGATGATAGTGGGACTAGTTTCATGCAAGTGATTTTCATTTTATCAATATTCCATGATTCAAGATTATCGATTTTTCATTCTTTCATCAACAAGTTGATTTTGTCAGTGTAGGGTTATACCTTCGGTTGGTCTACTTTTCATGCTGATTTCAGCCTATCACATTGCATAACAGGATTTTAATGCCTCGAAATTTTTCAATAGCCAGCTTAGATTTAAAGAATTTACTTTTCCATTCCATTCACTCTTTGTGCAAGCATCTGAGGAAACCTTCGTTGAAATTACGGACGAGAAGTTCAATTTGGATGCATAGTACAATAGTTCACTCTTCAAATGTGACATCTAGGAGCGGTTGATGCAAGAGACTGAATTCTTTAATTGTTTCTCACTTTAGGTCAACAAGAAAAGTGTAAGCTTTGTTCTCCTGAACGGTGACGTTTTTCCGCTCATTCACTATTGTCGCAAGACGGAAACGTCGGACTCTGAGGTTAGTATTGGGTTGGTGCATAAGTTCGTGCACTTTCATTCAAATTCAATTATTCCGGCGAAAATGCACGTTTCCGGAGGAGTGTCATACACCAATCGATTGCGTGTTTCTGCTCTTTGCAACTCTACTAGACGGTCTACTGCAGCTTTGTTTCCCTTGCATTTTCAATTTCAATAAAAGCGCACAGACTTATGCACCAACCCATTAATACGTACTGTTCTTTTGAAATTCATTCAGATCGCTTGTTCAATGTAGGATGAATTATTTTAATGAATGAAAAGAAATGAGAGGTTACTTCCAGATGTTGCGACCTGTGGATATGCTGTGTTGATGTGATATGCAACATCAACGTTGTTCTGTATAAAATAGTCGTTTTATAGTGGAGAAATGGGCCAGCCACTGCATCTCCGCTACAAACAATATCTTGCGGACATGAAGCATCCTGAACAGCAAAGATCATGGTCAGTTCACATGAAAGGATCACGTGCGGGTCGCGTGGCATCCAGAGACATCCAGATCATCTCAGTCGAAGATAATCTACAATGCCGCAAAATAAAAGAGGCCCTGTCAATCTATGACCTCAAGCCCACTGTTAATGTCCGACAAGAAATGTCTGATGAGAAATACTCATTCATCTTGATTGAAAACATTGGTTGTTATCGGCGATTATATGTTGAATATTAAAATCAGACTAATCCTTCACTATCATAACATTTTGTTTATTATAACCACCGAATAATTGATGAACAAGCTATTCTGCCTAGTTATATATCATCATCCAACGCTCTGTGTGTCACTGTGAAAGGTGCAGAAGCTGGTGTTTTCACACCATAACGTCTACCAATTCCCCCTTTTTTTCTACCTTGTTTTACTTTATTCT